AGGGGGGAATGGGAAGGATCAGTGATCCTATCATGAAGGAACACGGAGGGAGGTTTAAGTAAACGGATTGACTGAGTTGCCCTCAAAGTGGCTGTTTGTGGGATCTTGCTGTGCATTGACTGATGTTACAGTAGTGAGGACAATTTGAAAGGACACTGTTGGCTGTAAAAAGGTGTTGGGGCTGTCTCTGTTGCTCACAGCCATAGCTGCAACCTGAAAGGTTTGTATTCCGGATCCCAGGACTGCCTCCTGACCCATCCCTGATTGGTGTTTTGCAGAGATCCCTCGGCAACGTGCCACAGTATCGGCCATTCAGCGTGGTAGTGGCCATCGACTTTGGGACGACAGCAAGTGGCTATGCATTCAGTCTGGTACAGGACCCTGAGACCATCCACATGATGAGGTACTTCACACCAGTATCTGTCCCTTTGTGGTATATAGGTGCAGCTTTCAATTACGGCCCATCCCTAATTACCCTGGAGGGGCTGATTTTAGATCATAACATAAGAACTAGGAGCAGGAGTAGGCCATCCGGCCCCTTGAGCCTGCTCCACCATTCAATAAGATCATGGCTGATCTTTTTGAGACTCAGCTCCACTTACCCACCCGCTCACTATAACCCTTAATTCCTTTCCTGTTCAACAATTTATCTAGCCTTGCCTTAAAAACATTCAGTGAGGTAGCTTCAACTGCTTCACTGGGCAGGGAATTCCACAGGTTCACAACCCTTTGGGTGAAGAAGTTCCTCCTGACCTCAGTCCTACATCTGCTTCCCTTTATTTTGAGGCAATGCCCTCTAGTCCTAGTTTCACCTGCTAGCGGAAACAATCTCCCTGCCTCCACCTTATCTATTCCCTTCATAACCTTATATGTTTCTGTAAGATCTCCCCTCATTGTTCTGAATTCCAATAAGTATAATCCCGGTCTACTCAGTCTCTCCTCATAATCCAACCCTCTCAACTCTGGAATCAACCGAGTGAATCTCCTCTGCACCCCCTCCAGTGGTAGTATATCTCTTCTCAAGTAAGGAGACCAAAACTGCACACAGTACTCCAGGTGTGGCCTCACCAAGACCCTATACAGCTGCAGCATAGCCTCCCTGTTTTTAAACTCCATCCCTCTAGCAATGGCAGACAAAATTCCATTTGACTTTTTAATTACCTGCTGCACCTGCAATCCTACTTTTAGCGATTCATGCACAAGGACACCCAAGTCCCTCTGCACAGCAGCGTGCTGCAATTTTTTACCATTTAAAACATAGCCCATTTTGCTGTTATTCCTACCAAAATGGATGAGCTCACACTTATCAACATTGTACTCCATCTGCCAGACCTTTGCCCACTCACTTAGACTGTCTATATCCCTCTGCAGACTTTCAGTGTCTTCTGCACACTTTGCTCTACCACTCACCTTAGTGTCATCTGCAAATTTTGACACACCACACTTAGTCCCCAACTATAAATAATCTATGTAAATTGTAAACAATTGCGGTCCCAACACTGATCCCTGAGGCACACCACGAGCCACTGACCGCCAACCAGAAAAACACCCATTTACCCCTACTCTTTGCTTTCTACTGGTCAACCAATCCTCTATCCATGCCAATACATTACCTGTAATACCGTGCAACCTTATCTTATGTAGCAGCCTTTGGTGTGGCACCTTGTCAAATGCCTTCTGGAAATCCAGATACACCACATCCACAGGTTCCCATTGTCCACCATGCAAGTAATGGCCTCAAAGAATTCCACCAAATTAGTTAAACATGACCTACCCTTCATGAACCCATGCTGGGTGTTCCCAATGGGACAATTTATGCTCAGCTTCCTTTGCTTACAGCCCATCCCTAACTACTCTGGAGGGGCTGATGTTCAGCTTCCTTTGCTTACGGCCCATCCCTAACTACTCTGGGGGGGGGCTGATATTCAGCTTCCTTTGCTTACGGCCCATCCCTAATTACCCTGGAGGGGCTGATATTCAGCTTCATTTGCTTACGGCCCATCCCTAATTACCCTGGAGGGGCTGATGTTGAGCTTCCTTTTGAAATTTTTGATCTTAAACTAATCAGGACAGAGTGCAAGAATGCCAAATTTTATACAGTCACAGCTATTTACAGTGCAGGAGAAAGGCTGCTGATTGATTGGCATGATGACTCTGATTGGCCATGGTGCTGCCATGGGAAACAGCAGTGGGGAGCGATTGGCTTGTTAACGGTGAGGGGTTGTGGTAATCTCACTGGAGCTGGCAATGTCCTGGGGAGCTGAGCTCATATCACACCACGGCAACTGGTTGAGTTGGATCTGGAATCTCTGTGATGGTGAACCTGAAACAATCAACAATTGTCATAAAATCCCATCCAGTTCGTTAATCTCCTTCGCAGCTCACCACCACTTTCTCCAGGATAACCAGGGAGGGGTGATAAATGCTGGCCCAGCCCAGAGACACCCATACCCATCTACTGGATATGAAAGAAAAGTTGTCAATTGTGAGATGGGCAGCATGGCCAACAGGCCAACGCTAAATACCACACACACTCTGTACTCACTGCATTGCTTTTAGAGCCAGAGAGATTTAAAGCCCATCGAGGCTAAAACAACCACCAAGCTATTCTAATCCTAACTTTCTCAACTTTTATTTTTCGTTCATGGGATGTAGGCATCTCTCTCAGGGCTGACGTTAGTTGCCCATCCTTAATTACCCTCGAACTGATCGGATCTCTAAGCTGTTTCAGAGGTTTACCCACATTGCTGTGGGTCTGGAGTCACATGTAGTATGACCAGATAAGGGATGGCAGTTCCCCTCCCTAAAGTGAACCAATCGGGGTTTTGAGAACAATCCAGTAGTTTCACGGGGACTACTTCTGAGATACCTTCACCGAAAGCACTGATAGGCTTTGAACTCACAACTCTGCGTCAACAGGCCTGGCCTCTGGGTTGCTTTTAGGCAGGAGGAGACTTTCCAGTTTATCTAGCACCTCCTATCCCCGGTGTATATTTCAGCCTTTCTGATCGGTCCTCTCCCCAGCACTCCCTTCATCCGTCTAGCCCTTGCTATCCCCTGTATTCCCTGCTCCACGGTTTCCCAAAGGCTCATATCAAGGACATTTTCATTTCATTTTATTGACAGGTGCCATTTCTTTCTGAGACTCTAAAAGGGGAGGCAATGGCTTAGTGGTATTATCGCTGGACTGTTAATCCAGAGACCCAGATAATGTTCTGGGGACCCAGGTTCAAATCCCACCACGGCAGATGGTGAAATTTGAGTTCAATAGATACATGGAATTAACAATCTAATGCTGACCGTAAATCCATTGGCAATTGTTGGGGAAAAACCCACCTGGTTCGCCAATGTCCTCTAGGGAAGGAAACTGCCATCCTTACCTGGTCTAGCCTACATGTGACTCCAGACCCACAGCAATATGGTTGGCACTTAACTGCCCTCTGTGCAATAAATGTTGGTCTAGCCAGCAATGCCCTCACCCTCTGAATAAATAAAAATAAACACCAATATCAATAATCTCTCCCACAATCTTAAATTCCTGGTCTCTGTGTTAAATAAAGAGAAATGAATTGAAAAATATCTCCAGGCAAAATAAAGAGATATTAATTCTCTCATGGCCTCACATAAACAGGGACCTGAGTTTGATTCCACCTGCGGGTGACTGTCTGTGTGGAGTTTGCACATTCTCCCCGTGTCTGTGTGTGTTTCCACCGGGTGCTCCAGTTTCCTCCCACAGTCCAAAGATGTGTGGGTTAGGTGGATTGGCCATGGTATCCAGGGAAAGTAGGAACGGCTGATGCTGGAGTCTGAGATAACAAGGTGTAGAGCTGGATGAACACAGCAGGCCAAGCAGCATCAGAGGAGCAGGAAGGCTGACGTTTCGGGCCTAGACCCTTCTTCAGAAAATCTAGACCCGAAACATCAGCTTGGCCTGCTGTGTTCATCCAGCTCTACACCTTGTTATCATAGTATCCAGGGATGTGCAGGCTGGGTGGATTAGCCATGGGAAATGCAGGGTTACAGGGATAGGGTGCGTCTGGGTGGGATGCTCTTTGGAGGGTCAGTGTGGACTCGATGGGCCAAATAGGCCTGCTTCCACACTGTAGGGATTCTCTGATTCTCGTGGAGGTAAGGATCATGATCCAAGTTGAATGTCGTCAGATTCCAATTGCTTCGGTGTGTTTGTTTCCAGGCGGTGGGAGGGTGGTGATCCTGGAGTTGCCAATCAGAAAACCCCCACCAGTTTGCTCCTCACTCCTGATGGCAGTTTCCACAGTCTGGGTTATACAGCCAGGGATCATTACCATGACCTGGACCCAGAGGAAGCCAGGGACTGGCTATACTTCGAGAAGTTTAAGATGAAGATTCACAGTACCTGTGTGAGTATACACTGCACGGTCACTTCTCTCCAAATGTGACAGGAAGATCAGCCGGTCACACCCAATAAAACTCAAGACGCTGTTCGAGTCCCGGCGCACGGTAATACTGAACAAATCAGATCTTACACGGGATAGTGAGTCTAGGGAGGGGTATGTTGATATTCTAGGGCATGTCAATATAAAAGGGGGTGATGTTGGGTGATTTGGAAAACATTAAGGTAGACAGGTCCCCAGGACCTGATGGGATCTATCCCAGAATGCTGCCAAGGAAGAAATTGCTGGGGACTTGTATCCTTTGTAGTCACAGGAAAGGTCTCAGGGGACTGGAGCATAGCCAACGCTGTTCTTTTGTTTCAGAAGGGTAACAGGGATAATCCAGATCGGTGAACCTTACATCGGTGGCAGGGAAATTATGAGAAAAGATTCTTGGGGACAGGATTGACTCATATTTGGGAAAATATCGACTTATCAGCGATAGGCAGCATGGCTTTGTGTGGGGACTTTTTTTGAAGAAGTGGCGAAGATGAGGGCAAGGGGGTAGATATTGTTTAAATGGACTTTAGCAAGGCCTTTGATAAGGCTGATACAGAAGGCGAAGTCACATGGGATCCATGGTGAGTTGGTAAGATGGATACAGAACTGGCTTGGTCATAGAAGACAGGGAGTAGTGGTGGAAGGGTGTTTTTCTGACTGGAGATCTATGGCCAGTGGTGTTCTGCAGGGATCAGTGCTGGAAGCCCTGTTGTTTGTAATATATGTCAATGATTTGGTGGAGAAGGTAGGTGGCCTGTTTTTTGTGGACAATACAAAGGTTGGGGGACCTGAAGGTAGTGAGGAGGATTGCAGAGGATACAGCAGGATATAGATAGGGCTGCAGACTTGGGTGGAGAAATGGCGATGGAATTTAATCCAGACAAATGCAAGGTAATGTACTTTAGAAGGTCTAATGCAGGAGGGAATTATACAGTAAATGTCAGAATCCTTAGAAGCATCAACATACAGAGGGATCTAGGCATACAGGTACTCAGTTCCCTGAAAGTGGCAACACAAGAGGATAAGGTGGTTAAAAGCTGTATGACGCACTTGTCTTCATCTGTCAGGGCATAGAGTATAAAAACAGGCAAGCCATGCTGCAGTTTTACAGAACTTTAGTTAGGAAACGTTTGGAATATTGTGTACAGTTCCGGCCCTCACACTGCCAAAAGGATGTGGAGGTTTTGGAGCGGGTACAGAAACAGTTTACCAGAATGTTCTGAGGAAGGGTCACCGGACCCAAAACATTAACTCTGTTTTCTCCTTCACAGATGCTGCCAGACCTGCTGAGCTTTTCCAGCAACTTCTGATTTTGTTCCTGATTTACAGTATCTGCAGTTCTTTCGGTTTTTATTTACCAGGATGTTGCCCAGTTTGGAGGGTATGAGCTATGAGGAGAGATTGGACAAGCTTAGTTTGTTTTCACTTGAATGTCGGAGGCTGAGGGGTGACCTGATAGAGCACAGAACATGGAACAGTACAGCACAGCACAGGCCCTTCGGCCCATGATGTTGTGCCAACCTATTATCCTACTAAATCAATCTACCTACTATCATCCATGTGCCTATCCAAGAGTCACTTAAAAGTCTCTAAAGAATCTGACTCCATTACCACTGCCAGCAGCACATTCCACACGCCCACCACCGTCTGTATAAAGAACCTACATCTGACATCTCCCCTATACCTTCCTCCAATCACCTTAGCCCCCTCGTAATAGTCATTTCCGCCCTGGGAAAAAGTCTCTGATTATCCATTCTATCTATGCCTCTGATCATCTTGTAAACCTCTATCAAGTCACCTCTCATCCTCCTTCGCTCCAATGAGAAAAGCCCCAGCTCCCTCAACCTTTCCTCATAAGACCTGCCCTCCAGTCCAGGCAGCATCCTGGTAAATCTCCTCTGCACCCTCTCTAAAGCTTCCACATCTTTCCTGTAATGAGGCGACCAGAACTGAACACAATATTCCAAGTGTGGTCTAACCAGGGTTTTATAGAGCTGCAGCATAACCTCACGGCTCTTAAACGCAATTCCCCTCCACTGAAAGCCAACACACCATACGCCTTCATAACAACCTTATCAACTTGGGAGCAACTTTGAGGGATCCATGGACGTGGACCCCAAGTTCCTCCACACTGCCAAGAATCCTGCCATTATCCCTGTATTCTGCATTCAAATTTGACCTTCCAAAATGAATCACTTCACACTTTTCTGGGTTGAATTCCATCTACCACTTCTTTGCCCAGCCCTGCATCCTGTTAATGTCCCGTTGCAACCTACAACAGCCCTCCACGCTGTCCACAACTCCACCAACCTTCGTGTCATCAGCAAAATTACTAACCCACCTTTCCACTTCCTCATCCAAGTCATTTATAAAGATCACAAAAAGCAGAGATCTCAGAACAGATTCCTGTGGAACACCACTGGTCACTGAGCTCCAGGCTAAATACTTTCCATCTCCTACCACCCTCTACCTTCTATTGGACAGCCAGTTTTGTAGCCAAATTTCCCTGAATCCCATGCATCCCAGTCCATTGTTGATTATTAGGGAAAAACCCATCTGTTTCACTAATTGTCAGGAAATCTGCCCTGATAGGAGCAAGCAAAGCAAATCTGCCATCCTCACCTGATCTGGCCTACATGTGACTCCAGACCCACCAGCAATATGGTTGACAATGTGCCTAGCAAGCCACTCAGTTCAAGGGCGGCTAGGGATGGACAATAAATGCTGGCCAAGCAGCGAGGACCACGCCCCACGAGTGAATTTTTTTTAAAAATGATACCTTAAGGGACCGATTCGCATACACACCAAGGTCCCTCTGATCGTCAGTGCTGCCCAGGGCCTGAGATTACAAACACACATAGCGTGAAGGAGGTCAATGAGACAGTAAGGGAGCAATCCGGACTCCAGCTGGTGAAATGAAACGTAGGGAGGTTGGGCTAAACTTGTCTGAAACCTGGGAGTAGAGTGAGCATTTCTGCCTGACAGAGGGATGTTGTGGTTGGTTGGCTCGCCGAGCTGGTTCGTTGTTCTTCCACAGACGTTTCATTACCCTGCTGGGTAACATCATCAGTGCAGCCTCCAATGAAGCGCCGTTGTGTTTTCCACCTGTTATTTAAACTCTGGTGTCCGTTGGAATGGATTTCCTTCGCAGTGGTGTATATATATATATATATAGGGTCTAGTTCTATATGGAAGTAAGGAAATCTATTCCAATGGACCCCCAGAGTTTAAATACCAGGCGGGAAAACACAACAGCACTTCATCGGAGGCTGCACTGATGATGTTACCCAGGGTAATGAAACGTTTGCGAACTAATGAACCAGCTCGGCGAGCCAACCAACCTCAACACTCACAACCCGAGCTACAAATCTACTCCAAAACATCAGTGAAAGAGGGATGTTAAATTGATTAGAATGATCATAGAATTATATTTTTTTCCCCTTTATTCATTCACGGGATGAGGGTGTTGCTGGCCAGGCAGCATTTATTGCCCCTCTGGGCAATTAAGAATCAACCACATTAATGTGGGTCTGGAATCACATGTAGACCAGACCAAGTAAGGATGGCAGTTTCCTTCCCTAAAGGACATTAGTGAACCAGATGGGTTTTTCCTGACAATCGACTCACAGTCATCATTAGATTCTTAATTCCAGATTTTTTTAATTGAATTCAAATTCCACCATCTGCCATGGCAGGATTCGAACCCGGGTCCCCAGGGCATTATCTGTGTCTCTGGATTAACAGTCCAGCGATAATACCACTAGGCCATCACCTCCCCCTTACAATACATCAGTATTGTATATCCATCAGGAAATAACTGATTGGCTGAGTTCTTTTCCTTTAACTAAAGGCCAAAGGGTGACCGTACAGACGTCTATAAAATGGTGAAAGGTTCTTCAGGAACTCCATTACTCCATGTTGCCATCTATCCCTGCCAGCCCTCCACTCAGGAATCAAAACACTGCAGATGCTGGAAATCTGAAACTAACACAGAGAATGCTGGCAGCATCTGTGCAGAGGGAAACTGAGTTAACGTTTCGGGGCCGTTATGTCTCATCTTTAGAACTGAAAGGGCAAGGAATCAATCCATTGTCTCAAAAATATTCATCAACTTCTGAGGCAGCAATTTCCAAAGTTACACAACAAAATAAATACATCTCACCTTGTCCTAATCCCTAAGCTCCCCAATTTTGGCATGACCCACAAGAGGGAAACACCCTTCCCAACTCCACCTTGTCAATGTCACTCAGGATCTATGGAGTCACGCAGCACAGAAACAGACCCTTCAATCCAACCCGTCCATGCCGACCAGAAATCGCAATCTGACCCGGTCCCATTTCCCAGCATTTGGTCCATATCCCTCTAAACCCTTCCAATTCATTTACCCATCCAGATGCCTTTTAAATGTTGTAATTGTACCAGCCTCCACCACTTCCTCTGGCATCTTATTCCATACACACACCACGCTCTGTGTGAAAATGTTGCCCCGTTAGGCCCCTTTTATATCTTTCCCCTCTCACCTTAAACCCATGCCCTTGAGTTTTGGATTCCCTGTCTGCAAACTTACTAACACACCCATCCACATTTTCAACTAAGTCATTTATATATATATATATAACACAGAGGTCCCAGTGCAGATCCCTGCAGAACACGACTAATCACGGACCCCCAACCTGAGAAACGCCCTTCCACCCCTACCCTCTGCTTTCTATGTGTAAGCCAATTCTGAATCCATGTGGCCAAGTCACCATGGATCCCATCATCTTAATCTTCTGGATGAGCCTACCTTGAGGGACCTTGTTGAAAGCCTTACTAAAATCCATGTAAACAACATCCACTGCTCTCCCCTCATCAATCACCTTCGGCACCTCCTCGAAAAATCCAATTAATTCAGTCTATTGGCCTGTCTGCATAACTCCCTGTGTGACTAAGATCAGAGAGTGGTTTCATTTATCCCGCTCGGGCCTCAGTCTACTCAGATTGGAGGCACACGCTATGCAGACTTCCCATGACATCTCCCCCACTGTGATTCCAGAACCTTCCACAGCGCCGAAACCGCACCAATTCCCTTGTCTTGTCTCTCCAGGACCTCACCCTGGAGACGGAGCTGGAGGCTGTAAATGGGAAGAGAGTCAAAGCCCTGGAGGTGTTTGCTCACGCACTGAGATACTTCCGGAAGCACGCCCTAAAGGTTAGTGAGGCGTCTGAACTTTGACCTTTCACACCGGGGTCAGTCCGTCAATCGGGGGGAGCGCTATGGCAAGGTTGAGGGCCCCATCACGACAGCTCTGAAGACCGAGGTGGGAGTGAGAGCCAACTGGTGGGATCTGGGAGATTGAGACACATGTGAAAGGATGGCACCAGCGGCTCGATGAATGCAGTCCATTCCGTGTCGAGCTGATATTCCTGAGCAGTGCTGTGTGTTTTGGCAGGAGCTGAAAGACCAGTTCTCGGTGGGTTTGGACACAGATGATGTGCGCTGGGTAATCACCGTCCCAGCGCTCTGGAAACAACCTGCGAAACAGTTCATGAGGGAAGCAGCTTATCTGGTAAGGAGCAACAGACTGAGCGATCAGGGCTCACACCCTACAGAGAGAGAGATCCAGGGTGGGGGGGGGAACAGAGAGATCGGGGG